GTAACTCTATAATTATAACCTCAAATCGAAACGTCTTGTGAGCGTTGTCATGAATCTGTTAGTGTTTTCACAAGCCGAAAATGTTTTCTTTGAAAGGAAAATCATTAAATAATATCTTTGACAATGTTTGACATATAACCTCCATTACTAACATAACCTACATTTAAATGTATGTGGTGAAATAATCTAAGTCGTACGTCCATATCTTGATTCATACCATTTTAAAGCGATCTGTCACTGCCAGCTCTCGTGGTTTCTACTATATTAACAATATCAACTTATGAAACTAAATCTTTGAATATCTCGAAAATGGTTCATTTTCGGACCTATGTTTATTAGGCTTTTTTTGTTTATTTTTGATCATAGAATACGCTGATGCAGTTTTGTACAATCGTTGCGGGACACCTGTATATTATATTTTTTGTTCCAGATTATTCAATCGCCATTGCAACCTAAGCAAATATAGGAAAGCAAAAAATAAAAACTAACCAACCGGCGCACAATGTTGATTCAACCTTAATTACTTTCAACCCATTAAAACTACCACTAATACAGTATTATTACCTGCAATGGATTTATTATATTTATGATCAACCTGTCGTGTAAGTCACGTCAAAATTGACTATTAATAGCACTAGACGTAATTAGTTACCTGAATTATATCAGTAATTATTCGGTTTGAGGACAACTTTAAAAAGTTCTGAAATATGGAAGGAAATGAGCCAGGTATGTGCTATTAATATATCATCTATTTTTATCTGCATTCATACGATTAGAGTAAATAATAGGTTTTGAAAGTAATGCATAATTTTTGTTTGTTTTCCTATATTTGTCATATTCAGAAAAGGAAAAGTTACACTTCCAAGTGTTTCTAAGTGCCGAATTTTACACTATTTATTAGCCTAGAATGTGGTTTGTTTGGTAGAAAGTAATTTACGTTCGACTTGACATTTTAGAAATATTTCAACAACTGCATTACAAAATCATTTTCCTTCCATATTGTAAATTGAATTGGATTTTTTCTCGCAGGACCATCGGGATTTAAAACAGCATTACGGAAAACTGGAATATGTGGAAAACATTTTGCGAAATAAAGAAAATTATACAGTGGATGAAACTAAAGTATTCAAGCAGAAAATGTCATTATTTAAAAGCCAGTTTCAAGCAAAATGGTCGGATGCGTCAAAGAACCATCAAAAATTTCTTAAAAAATACAATGTGTTTCTGAAGGGCGAAACCTGGACGTCCGATTATATCTTTCAATGAATCAAGTGATCAACACTGCGGAAAAATGTAACATGTGAAGAGCTTGTTTTTGCAACCAAAACCAAATTAAGATCCTGTGGTAAAAGAGATGCTGCAAAAGTTCTGCAACAACTTATCGAATCTCCGAAACGGGCAACAAAGTACAAAAAAGCTTATGATAAAGACCATGAAGGTAATATAGCGATATTGCACCGAGACCTCGATATTGCAATAAGAATAAGATTTATTAAAAAAACCACTGATATTATAAAAAAGGAAATTGAGTATACTGATAATAAAATGAAAGAATTGACGACATGTCGACCGACATGTTGTGTCCTTACGAAAACAAGGCTTAACAGGTTATTGCTGGTTTCAGATCCACTCTTATCAAGCATTAGACCGAAAACTAGCAAGAACACAAAACCTTTTTCTAAAGAATGCATTGAACTGTTACTTCCAGGGGAAATACAAAGAAACAGAAGACGAAAACAGAAATTCATGAAACGAAGAATTATAGTCAAGTTGAGTTATATACAGGGTGTCCTGAAACTCAACGTCAAGCGGGTACCGGGTGAGAGGCCAACCCATACCTGTTCTGGTAAAAATGAGAAAAAATTCCATGTCTCTTAGTTAAGTGGTAATTGACATACTTTTCAAAATGTTAAAAATCGGTCCCGTACATCGTATCTTTAGGCAATTTAATAGTGATTTTTTTAATAATCTATTCCTTGTGAACCATGCTACTGTAGAAGTGACAAATCAAACAACAAAAGTCGTTAGTTTTGCAAAAAAATAAATTAATTTGATTGAGTTAAGGTTGAAAGAATTTATGTCTATTAAGTTTGACACATGATTTCTAAAAAAAGAAGTAGTACAACACCCTTGGCAAGTAATTTTAAAACGTGGCCTGTTTAGTCAATTTTCCAAAATACTTGCCATTTTTCTTGTCATAAAAAATTCATACTTTTGTATGTTATTTTTTACATTTTCAAAAATGTTTCTATTACCACTTAACTAAGAGACATAGAATTTTTTTCTTATTTTTACCAGAACAGGGGTTGGCTTCACGCCCGGTGCCCGCTTGACGTTGAGTTTCGGGACATCCTGTATATAAGAAGTATAATATGTAAAATTGAAGCAAAACGGTCTTAATTTATTAGTTAACATATGATTAATCCTATAGTGAAATACCTACATATGTATGTACCTACCACATATACAAGTACATAATATACAGGTGTTTCTAAATTGATGCAAAACATTTCAAGGAGTCATTTTTCAACAAAAATTGCGGGAGTGTTTCATATACCTTTTTGTTTAAAACCCCCTCCACTCCCAATTACAGCCCTCTAAAGTTAAGGGAAAATTGTTTTTGTTTAATACATATATCCCCGATGGAATGTACAGGGTGGGCAAATTTGGGTGTTATTATAGGCTATCTCAGAAACTATAAGAGATACGAAAAAAGTAGGTGCCATGTCCCGGTTTCTTTTTTCGAGACTAACCCAATCCCGCAAACACCAAACCTCTATCTTCTTTTGTTTTTAAGTTAAAGCCAAAAAGTCAAATTTTCGTGATTTCAAAAANTTGAAAACTCTGGAAAGACTGTGTGATCGCTACATTAGAGATTTCTGTCTTCCAACTAAACCAGTAAATCCTAATCAACACGCCTACACTCAGGGCAAGTCCACATTAACAGCTCTTCACTCCGTGACCAGCTTTGTTGGTGGAGCGCTGGACCTAAAGGAGTCCGCCCTGGGTGTTTTTATAGATATAGAGGGAGCTTTTGATAAAACAACTTTCTCTGGTATTAACGAAGCCTTGTTAGAGCATAATGTTCCACCGACTCTTTGTGGTTGGATAGAGAACACTCTTAAACATAGGATAGTTAAGCTTAGGGCTGGCGATGTCACTCTTCAAGGAGGAGTTACTCGAGGCTGTCCACAAGGAGGTGTACTATCCCCACTTTTGTGGAAC